TCAAACTTTGCAAAAAAATCGATAAAATCGATAAAAGTAATCGATAATCCTGAAAACCAATATTGTATTCGGAATCCCCATGCTCGATTACCCCCCCTGTGCCAACTCCCAGCCCCGTAGGTGAACTCAGCAAAAAAATCGATAAAAATCGATAAAATCGATATCGATCGATGACGAAAAGTAGCCTATGACACCCGCCGGGGCCCGTAGTGTATGTGTGCCAAGTTTGGTCCGGATCGGTTCAGAAATGGAATTTTCTATTCGGAACATACGTACACACATACAGACAGACAGACAGACAGACAGACAGACAGACATACAGACATACATACAAACAGACATTCAGCTTTATATATAAGATTTGTTGTGATCTACATATAATGAGTGTAGTAATAGAGGTGAATGCATCTCTTGCATCTTTGTAATGGCCAAATTGGATAATTTTCGCAAAAGGCTAGTTCCCAGATTAAGAGACGGTCGAATTGCCCAGATCGCCCTTCTATGGCCAAGGAAAGTAGAACAAAAGTGTTATCAAATTTTACCGAAGGTATTTTTCGTAGTCCGGGTTTTTTTGAATCGCAAAAATTTTTCCGGATGAGGGGCCCTCCAAGCAACTCGTTTTTTGAATTTTTTTTTGGAAACGGGCATGGTTATATAAGAAAGAGTGATTTTTTCACCGGTGAAGTAGCAACTTTTCAGGATAGGGTATACCATAGAGCATGTTTGTTTTCATGTGTTACCAATTGTTTTCTTTGTTGATCTGTCACGGTGCTCTCAACACGAAATTCGTTATACATCTGCTGATACACAAACTTCTTGGAAAAGTTCATGGCAGTCTTCTCGTAGTTGTTCCGAAAAATCTGCTCAATACGAAGCTTTGCAATTATGACAAGTAGTGGTCTATTCACTTTCCCGTGCTCGCCAAAATGCATGTAGTTTTATCGGCAATCAAAAAAAATGCAATCAGCGCCTAGCACCACATGCGGACAATGCTTTCGATAAGGCTTCTCCGCGATTTTTATGGAAACATTCCACCCGTACTGGTATATATACAGCCAAGTTCGAACCATCCGTCTTCACTGTGAACTCTACCAATCAGTTCCTCAAAGGCAGCTTCGACATTGATCAGGTAAATAATTTCACAGTTTAGTACCTTATTAGGTTGCATTTTGACTCAAAGGAGTTTGGTCATAATAGCCTCGATGTTAGCTTCGGACCATAGACCGTTCATTCAAATCTTAAGCAGGATTACAATTGCAATAGTTAGTCAAGAGTAGGATAAAACTCACTCTCTCACGGCCTAAACTCAGCTCATGTCCCACTTCGCTACGGAGCTTGGCTGCCACAAGCCAGTTATCTCTGTGGTATCATTTCTGACCAGAAACTTTCTGGACTGAAAAGATCGATAGGCTGCGCTTTGGTGCTGTAAGTACTGAAAGTCAAGAAGCAAGCTCTTTTCCTCTACGGAAGATTTCCGTCCACTCTGCGCTAGCCTTAGACAACCAAGTTACGATTTGGCAGGTGTACTCTTTCAGTCAAACTCCCCGCCTGACATTGTCTTTACCGAGATTCGCAATGCTAGAGGGTGTTTGCTAAATACAAAGAATAAAGAGCAGAATTTCAACTTCTTCTCAATAAGTGGAGAATTGATGGAAGTAATTGTATCTCATTGGCGATCGGGAGTCTCCAACAACGCCACACCTCTCATGACTTTTTATTAGGTTGAACACTAAGTTTTGCAACTTGTTTCATATCTTCACTTTCATTCAACATGGCGCACTCAAACTTTGGCATCATGTAGAATGCAATGTGAGCTACAAGCGAGCACAAATTGTCTGAATTTTGAACACGAAATAGAAAAGTTTCAGGCATTTTTCGAAAACTAGTGAAATTTGAGAATTTTTGGGGTTTCAAGCTAAAATGAAGCCTTTCGCAGCCTAGAGCATGCGCAGTAATCCGGATTCGTCTACAAATTATTGCTGGAGGTTGACTCCTTTGGCCTATTAAGAAAGAAACAAAATTTAGGGGTATGTCGAGATTTGGCGTCCTCATAAAGTCGAACGAGTCGATGTACGCAAGAGCTGCTGGGGACGACCGCCAATGACTAAAGAGTCCGAAGCTCAAATTCCTCCGAGACTTCACATAGTAAGGTTATTTAACCTGCCGAACGCGAATATCATATTCATTTGTTGAATCAACGCCATTTTCCTTGTTTAGGGTGAGACCCCATATCGTACACCTACAGTAATCCCACAAAAAAGCCGTTATCACGCAATTTCACTATCGTTTTCGTGATCAGCATGTCGGATAACACCCCTATGCCAAGTTTCAGCCAAATCCGTCAAACTTTGAATTTTTCCCCTTTATACCATACAACTACCGTAACCCTCACTACGACGTCAGAATTTGGTAGGTCAGCAGCTGCGCTTGTAGCTTACGTAATAACCAACACAGTGGCAAAATTTGCACCATGTTGAATGTGAGTGAAGTTATGAAACAAGTTGCAAAACTTAGTGTTCAACCCAATACAATGTCGAACTAGAGCCAAACTCAACAGGGCCTTCCTTTCTTGTTACCTTTACTAAGCACGTTCCCTTGGCTCTAGATAGTAGTTAGAGACAATTGAAATCTCGTTGATCCATTCATGCGCGTCAGTAGTTGGCTGAGAAGGCCAAGACAGTCTTGTCACTAATCCATCTTCATCGTGAGCGATTAAAGAGAAACCGCACGAGCACATTAATCAACAAACTAACCAACCCGTTTACTGGAGCCAATTTTCCCGTTACGAACCTAATTTGCCAGATTTCCTTACCTAGATTATCCTATCGACTAGAGTTCATTCACTTTGGAGACCTGATGCGTATATCGGCGGTGCAGCACAGATTGATAGCCTTCAGTCTAAAGAAAACGAGACATCACAGACCGCAATGCTTCACGGAGATAACGTTCCCATTCATGGCTGAACCAATTCCTCCATTTTTCTGTCGTTTCACTTTCAAACACTCAACACAATTCGTGCAAACTGTTCGTTTCTTAACTCGGAAAAATATAGCTTAGTCTTGGAGCGACGCTATCAGTTTGAATGCGTTACTACACAAGTAACTCAAACAGCCGCAATCTTGTGTCTGCATTAGGGAAAATTAACCCTACTCCCTCTTTATAGCTGAGAGAAAAGGAACCTTCCTTTTTATGATACAGAAGATCAATGAGTATTTTCTATCTTGTAAACAAGTGGCCCACTTTCAGCGACAACGGAAACTTTTCGTTTGATCTGCAAGGATCAAACAGTTACTACAACCACCGAGCAGTGCCCCCCCCCCCCCGAAAATGGGTCGCAAAATTTGTGAAAGTTACTTATATGGCTTATAAAAGCGTGCAAGTAACTTGTTTATAGTTGTGAATATCAGGTTGGCGGATAATTTCTGTTACACTTCCTTTTATTTCTCAAAAATCTAAGAAACTTTCGAAAATTTCTTATTTCTAATTGCTCCCCGTCAGCACTCTTCGAACATAGGAGTGCTGACGGAGAGCAAAAGTCTACCCTCCGGTACGATCAGATCCGCGATCCATGTGCAAAACACCCACTTTATTAGTGGGAGTGCGTTTTATGAACATTTTTGTCAGCGGGCTGGTGTTATTCCAGGTGATCCGGAAGAGACTGACGATGTCGTATTCGGGCAAGGTATGGTCCATAATGTTTAGCGAATCTAGGGGATGGTTTTGATTTGTTTTTCACCCCTTGTTTTGGCGTGCTAGCGAAAAAGAAGATGCGGAAATGTAAAAAAATATTATGGATGAGAAAAAACATAACTAAACGCAAAGAAAAATATTTAAGAAAAAATGACAATTTTGAGTGTGCTTATAAAGTTGTCGCAAACTTGCTAGCTACTTGGTACATTTACGGCATCAGTCATTGTTGTATGCGCCCTGCCCTGGCCTACATACGGAGCAACTTTGGAATCGAGCAACTAAAAAGCAACTAAAATTCTTTGTAAAAAGCTATGAGCAATAAAAAGTCCGAATTTGGCAAATATACATTGCCATATCTCGAAAATTAGTTGTTCAAAAACACTTATTTGTGCTTCTTTAAAGTGCGAGCATTTAAATCAGTACGCTCAATATCATGCTAGTTATACATCCCCAAGTTGGATTTGGAAGCAGATTATGCATTAAAACCCCAATGACTTCACATTATCAACCGCTCATAACTTTTTGCAGAGAACGGCATCGCAGATAAAAGGTAGATTTGGAATCAGCTCATCAAGTCATGCGATATAAAATGTGAAAACACAGACTACTTTTGTCCTGACATAATCGGCTTATTAGAAACGAGCCCATACATCAGTTCATTTATGTCTTCTATCATAAGGTTGTACGAGACCCGGGACCCGTGGCTTGGTTCATCTTGACTATCACAAGTTCGGTTGGCCATTAATCAATTTTTGGAAAACCATTGGAAACAATAATTAAAAAAAGAAAACCGTTTTGGAATTCACTTTTACCTAAAGGATTTCGAGGATTCGCCCGCGAAGGAAATTTTGCGACAAATTCGTTCCAGGCTAAAATTTCAATAGAAGCTGGATTTTTCCATATCATTGGTTACTTGGAACAGCAACAACTTAGGCATTGACATAACAGAAAATTTGAACAAAAAGCTGCCTCTTGAAAGTTCTGATGGAGCTGCAATACAAACGCTCCAGACTGGCATTTGCTTAAAAAGTTTTTTGATTTCTAGTGTGTTTTGTCAGTGTCCTGAGCATGATCAATAGAATCGAAAATGTAAGAGAAAACCATTTTTCATGGCTTTACTGCAATTTTTTCCGTCGAGCGTATGAAACCCTTCGAAAAAAGTGAATTTTAGATAAATTTTGTTATAAATTCTCGTATCCTTTGCTTCAAAAAGTAAAGGTTGTTTTGAACCAAGTTGCAGGGAACGACGGTTTCATCAAAATTAATCTAAGGCACACTTGCAGTTTCACAATTTTCCTGAGCTTGCCGAAATGGGTTCACCCGACTTGCACGTAGGTGACCGGGTCATGTTGAAGGAGAGCGCGGTGGAAGAAAAATGGAGAGCTTATGCCAGGTGAGAGTTTAGGGTTTTTTCGATTTGTCAAAAAGTTGGCCACCGCCGGAGTAGATTGAAGTCCGCGTCGTTTCGCCATATCTTGGTTCAGAGCATAGTTGCGATAGGGGGAGTGATGGATCTTACCCCCTTCACTTTGAGGCCAAACTCCCGATGACCCCCTTCACCTGGGCTGAGATTGGTATCGTACTCTGAGAATATGATAAAAATCGTTATGAAAAGCAGGCTAGGTACCTCAAACAACAAGTACACTCATAAATTTACTAAAGAAACGGTATTTATGTTTATTTATATTATTTATTTATCCTCGTAGCATTTTGGAGAGAAGAGAGTAAGTACACAAAATCACTTAATTTTTGAAGCACATAAAATCTCTCATATCTCGCGGCACAGAAGACCTAGAAAAAAGTCGACGGTCTACGTCGATTCTCCATGATCTCAGCTTTCGAATGGTATACAGCATGTTAGGGCTTCTTTGCTTCCCGGCTCTAAAAATCATTTTCTCCGGTAACCGATAAAAGCCAATACATTGGTGGAGCCGGATTGGAGCAAGCTAATAGTAAATATCTCCACCCCATTTTTGAAAACTGGTCCGTTTTTTCGCCCAGCAACCTATATACCATTCGAAAGCTTAGGAAAAAGGGGATTCGACCTAGACCGTCGACTTCTTTCTAGCCCCCCTCTACCGAGAGATACACTGCATTTTATCTGAAAACATGGTCATTTTCAACAGCAGATTTCTGCCAAATGAAGACCTAATCACTGCTGCTTATCTATCTGTGTTAAAGAGCAAGTCTTCATTAACAAACGTAGACCGTCGACTTTCTCGTAGCATTCATTTGGAGAGCAGAAAGTGAGGACACAAAATCAGTTAATTTTTGAAGCACATAAAATCCCTCATATCTCGCGGCACAGAAGACCTAGAAAAAAGTCGACGGTCTACCTCGATTCTCCATGATCTCAGCTTTCGAATGGTATACAGCATGTTAGGGCTTCTTTGCTTCCCGGCTCTAAAAATCATTTTCTCCGGTAACCCATAAAAGCCAACACATTGTATAGGTCGTCCCGAAAGTTTTTGAGCACAATTTTCAAAAATTCATAACTTCTGATTTTTCCAACCGATTTGACTGCTTTCACTTTTATGTGAAAGGGTAAGTCATGCTCTTTGTAATGACATCCCATCTGCTTAGTAATGGTCATCTCTTGCATAGATAGAAGCTCAAACAAAATCACTCGGAATATGAATTTTTGTGTAGGGTCATAAAAAATCAGAAACTTGCAACAAAATCGGAGCAGTCGGTATTTTAGGTTCTTTCACCAACTCTTTCTAACAGTGCAAAGTTTGCTCCGATTGAGCATCTCCATGAAAAGTTATAATTTCCGAGCAAGCAGTACAAAAAGGCGAATTTGATTTATTTTGGCATTCTTCAGGGAAACCATAACTTTTCATGGAGACGCTCAATCGGCGCAAACTTTGCACTGTTAGAAAGAGCTGGTGAAAGAACCTACAGTACTGACTGCTCCGATTTTTGTTGCAAGTCTCCGATTTTTTATAACCCTACACAGAAATTTAAAATTTTTACTATTTTTCTTCTATCGCTCCTATCTATGCAAGAGATGACCATTACTAAGCAGATGGGATGTCATTATAAAGAGCATGGCTTACACTTTCACATAAAATTGGAAGCAGTCAAATCGGTTGGAAAAATCAGAAGTTATGAATTTTGAAATTCGTGTGCAAAAACTTTCTGGACGACCTAATAAGAGCGAGGTGGAGCAAGTTAATAGTAAAAAATGTGCTGTGGATTGAAATCGTTATCAGCACTAACGGGAACGTGAGCGAACGCGTCTATTTGAGCGTGCTTATCGTTGTTATATGTTTACGTTTTTTTGGTAAAAAATGCGCTTTTGATTGACACTTATGCCATCATTGTTAGCACACACTCAAAAAACTATGGGAGATTGGTGAATTTCCACACCTTCACACAAAACCCGCCCATTTCTGGAATCTATACTCTGTAAACCTAGTGCTGAAGAAGGTCACTTTCGTGAAAACGCTCTAGACTCACCTTACCTAATTTTTAGAGAATGGTTGGTTTCAATGAATTAAAAACTCTAAGACATTCAGAAGAATAACATGTTATTAAAATATTCCTCAATGTTTTGGAAAGGTTGGCAGTTTGAAAAATGGCAGGCAGAATACTTTACAAAATCGCAGATGACTCGCATGTGTTCCAGTTCAACAGCGAGGCAGAAGGAGAATCTTACGCCGACGAAAATGTTGTCGACATTGATACAGAGTTGGCAATTGAGTGAAACTCTCTGATTTCCTGCATAAGGAATCCAAGCAGATTGTCTAGTTTCAATGAGGAAATGTCCAGGAAGTCCATTGCTGATCTTCAGGTTGCTGAAGAATTCAAGGCTGCTAAATTCACAAACATGGATATGAACAAAAGGAAGGTGTTAGTATAAAGCATAGTTACTGCGCTTAGATCCCGGCTGGAGTGCGAACCCAACTCTGTGCTTTATGCTTTTGAAAGTTATTCGCCTTGTGACAATATGACCTATGATATTGAAAAAAAAACCAACGCGCAGCATAGTACCTCCTTTTTTCGGCTATTCCGCAGATGCTGTTAAAGAAGAAGTTGAGCAGCTTTCTGATCAGCTAACAGGACGTATGCCAGAGGAGGTGAAGCCAGAGTTCGACAAGGCCCAAAAAGTACACTATTTCCTTCCCGTGTTGCGAAAGCATATGAGATTTGGCTCTTTTCCCATTACTTACCGCAAAAATCTGATGGGCCTACTAGCAAAGCTAGTTTCCATTCCGACTAGCACGGCAGAGGTAGAGAAAGAAATTTTCTATCTACTCTGTTATCAGAACACAACGCAGAAGTCGTACAACGATAGAGCATCTAAGCAAATACTTAAGATTTGTCAACCTTCTACCATTGTTATCTGAAAACTTCATTTAAAGGATTGATATAAGTGGTCCAGACAGGCTGTTACCGTATGACTTTTTGAAATATCCTAAAAGAAGGTATGAAGAAACTGATCACCTACCTGCTGACTTCCTGGTGCTACCAGAGGGCCACGAAAAAAATCACAAAACCGCTTAAAAGAAGAAGAAAGTTTCAAATCCATTTTCGACTCAGAACGCTTTTGCACGCAATTCTACTTCTACTCCGATGACCTTTTGGAGGAAGAAGAAGATTTTTCAGGCAGCGAACTTGTTGTCTCTGACGTTAGCGATAGTGATATTGTTGATGATGATGTGCAGGAAATGAAGTTGTTCCTAACTTGTACATCTTTTGGGATAAACATTATTGCTTTCGTTTTTTGTTGATGCAGTGAAACAGGAGCACAGATCTTCATAATCAATTTTTTTTGATTTTTTAATTTCTTTTGAAAAATTTTAAATTTTTTTTCAATTTGTGCCTAAATAAGGTACAAATTAGAGCTCTTTATACCACGCTTTTTTACCTTTTCTCTCTTCCTCCCCTCCCCCCCCTAGACTCACATACCCCCTTCACCCTGGAAGGTCGGAAACAGCCGAGACCCCCTTCACCTGGGGAGAGCCCGGCTCCCCCTATCGCACCTATGGTTCAGAGTGAGAGAATGCTAAATCCAAAGGTATCTTTGACTCAGCGGCGAGATGCGTCCCCTGATATATAGGAAAGCCTGTTTGAGTATGGTAGACTGTTAGTTCTCACGAATCTTTTTAGATTTTTGCCTTCGGCAGGCTACTCAGTGTGCAATGAATAAGCACACTGATTACCGTAAACGAAAATCCAGAAAGCATTGTGAAATCTGACCGTCTGTCGTGCGCCTACCGTATCCAAAACGGGCAAGCTAGCTGAGACTAATCTTGAAGCGATTGCCTTTGGATTGAAAATCGTTTTAATCTATACTAAGATATGGCGATGCGATGGAGATCTTGGTGACTTGACGAATTATAAACTTTACTGTATCGGATCACCTACAGTATAGTCTACCCTAGAGAGCTGCCTCCATCTTTTTTTCGAACCAACGTGACATTTTTCAAGGTATGAGCACGACGGTAGAAAGGGATGTGACGATTTCATTTGCGGTGACTGTGGAACAGCATTGAGTAGAGCGGATTCGCACAACAACATAAATTATGAAGAGTGGAAGCACCTGAAGCATGAAATGCGGTTCATGAAGGGAACTGTGATGAAGGTAGTATAGATACATTCAGAGACTAGTACTTTTTGCTATTACGCAAATTGCAGGTGGACTCAAGGATGTGCTGTTTCGTAAAATGGGACAATGAGTATAGTTGGTACTTTCATCATCGCCAGTCAGATCTGCGATTGGCGACGTTGCAGTCAGATCTGCGATTGGCGACGTTGCAGTCAGATCCGCGATTGGCGATGTTGCAGTCACGATTGGCGACGTTGCAGTCAGATCTGCGATTGGCGACGTTGCAGTCAGATCCGCTATTGGCGACGTTGCAGTCAGATCTGCGATTGGCGCCGTCGCAGTCCAGCGCTAGTGTATCATCATTTACTAGCGTTTTCAGTATGCGCAGTGCGCATGTTTCTACTACTAATTATTGGCCGAACTCTTAGGGTTACTCATTGGTTAATTTTGCGTATATCGACAAATTTGTGGTTATTAGTAAATTTTGCTTCATTGCTTGTATTGTCTGCTATATACCATATTTGTTGTGATCTACATATTGCAATGAGCAGCACAGTAATAAATTCAGGTCACTTCTCGCATCATTTGTAGCAGTAATATTGCGATAATTTTGGCAAAAGTTGGTTCCTTAAAAATCAAAAGACGGTTGAAGTGCGCAGATTGCCCTTTTACCATGTTTTCAGGTGTATAACCTCGAAATTTTTGGAAAAGGGCGTGATTATACGTGAGACCGGATTTCCTTAGTGGTGCAGTTGCAAAAATCTTTCTCAGTTCTAAGCGGAGCTCGCGAGAGCTGTTGAAGGAACACCGTGAAAGCTGAACTGAACTGGAATTGGACATTATCATACACAAAAAGGGCTGAGTAAATCTTTGCATCTAGACTTGCCAATGCCAGCTCCGTGCTAGCGCCGTGCCGAATTATCGCGATCAATGCGGGGCGCGTTCACATAGGTTCCGACAGGGCGCTAGCACGGCACAGGTGCGGGCACCACGATGCTACCTTAGGCAGCTACCTGAGAAAGGATGGTGCCGAACAGTGGCAGACCTTGGGCGGAACGCCGTTCCGATGCGAAATTTCTGAGGTGAAAATTGCACCCTTTTTCACACTTGTAAACAACTGAAATATCTTCGAAATATTCCAAAAACTCAAATGTGTAGGTGCAGACACAGTACAAAATGGTAATGAGCAATGTGGCTGGACTATGCGGCTGGAAGTGGTACTGTGGGGTAATTGAGGGTGCTGATATAAATAAGAATCTACTTAATCGACTACCGATATTTGGAAAATCTTGAGCTACCGAACTGGGAGTTGGTATAGAGGTATGGGTGTATTTCGAGAGGCGCGCGTTTCGGCAGGCGCCGTTGCCAGAAGGGTTTTGTACTCTACAAAAGTGAGGTCTCCAAACTTCTGAAGTTTTGTCATCATATCAGAAATAGTAACAGAGGTTTACTAGTTGAATTCCGGAATACTAAACCAATTTTGAACTTTTTTCCTGGTTTTTCTGATTAGTGACAATCGATCAATACGCGCCATTTGACCGTCTCCCATAGAGGTGTAAGGGTGCTATTTATCAATGAATCGGGTCTAGTCGGATATGTCAGCAAGTTTCAGATGTGGTTGCTCTGATATTCGATAATGATCCGAATATTCATTTGAATTTCGACTTCCAATGTTGGGATGTAATCGATATTCATTCATTTGATATTTCTGATTTTCCGATTTAATTCGGAATCATTCATTCGAATTTGATTGAATGTCAAACTTATTCAATACTCGTTTATTCGAGGTTTTATTTTCGACTTTATTCGATTGTTTACTCGAAATCCTTCATTTTTATTCGACATTCTTTCATTCGATGTGGCGAGTGGCGATCGGCGAACACAGACAGACTTCTGGGCTATCCGACAACGTGACCTCAAAAACGTAAACTTGCAAAGTCATTCCCGGTGAGAGCTGCATATCTCAGCACAGACCACTGCCTCTCGACATCAGAATTCCAATGGATAGACACACCAGGAGAGCCACAGAGACTAGGACACGCATTAAATGGTCGAGATCAAAAGGCAACAACGCGGCGAAACAAGCATTGCTAACAACTCTACCACGCTTGCAAGATGGGTGAGGGAACTTACATACACAATAAGGTTGCCGCCGCCTAATTAGCGGAGTTCATGAGAGGTCATGAACTGACAGCAACGCTAATTCGCACTCAATTTGCACCGAAGTTGAGCTGATTCTGCTCACGGTAACTCCGTCATCATCCTGCAGCCTATGAAACCGGAATTTCTTTGAAATTTGAATTCAAAGTTCAGTAGTAAACTCAGTCCAATAGGGCAAGAACTTGTATTTAGGGGTATTCCATCACGCTGATTCCGAATATGTTAATCATTTTACTTGAGACCTAGGATTTTCTTTTTTGAATTAAAACTTGTTTTCACAAATAAAAATTTCCAAAATTTTGTAAGGGTTTTCTGACATGCTGTTTCCTAAAAAGCTAATGATTACGCTCCAAATTGAATATTTTTTCCTTGGAAATTTTATATTTTCATTCTCTGTAAATTTGCCAAACTTCGCAATTAGGGTTTTTTTGACATGCTGTTCAAAAAAGCTGATGGTTGTGCATGAAACATCGAAATTTTTCTATTTTGAATTTCAAACTTTTTTTCGGATTTGGTGATAACAGCCACAGGCATGCCCTGAGAATCTTTGTGAAAAATTCGTGAAAACAAGTTTTGATTCAAAAAGAAAAAAAATCCTAGGTTTCAAGTAAAATGATTGACATATTCGGAATCAGCGTGACAGAATACCCCTAAATACAAGTTTTTACCCTAACTGGACTGATTTCACTACTGAACTTTGAATTCAATTTTCAAAGAAATTCCGATTTCATGGACTGCAGGATGATGACGGAGTTACCGTGAGCAGAATCAGCTCATCTTCGGTGCAAAATGAGTGCAAATTAGCGTTGCTGCCAGTTCATGACCTCTCATGAACTCCGCTAATTAGGCGGCGGCAACCTTATTGTGTATGTAAGTTCCGTTCCCCTTGCAAGATAACCCAGATCAATCCTGGGAAAGCTTGAAAGATCGAGTCCACAAAGTGGCATGCATGATCCTGGGAAGTACAAAGCCAGGAAAAGGAAGGATTAATCGAGAAACGTGGCGGTGGAATGACGAAGTGCAAAAACTCATGAAAGAGAAGAGGAATGCGTACAAGCGATGGCATAAGACGAAATCAGAGGACGATCGCCAGACGTACCAACAAGCCAAACGTGCTGCGAAGGCTTCCGTAAAGAAGGCAAAACAGGTGTACTTAAAGGAGCTCTACAATCAACTAGAGTCCTGCGAGGGAGAACGCGAAATTTACCGGATAGCGAGAAGAAGGGCGGAGTCCACGAAAGATATGGAGCACTTCCTCCATATCAAAGACAAACTTGGTAGGACTCTAAGAAAACCAGAGGACATCACCGAAAGATGGAGAACCCACTTCGAAGAGATGGCCACCACAGGCCGCACCATCAGCTCCATCCCAGAAGCCAGCCCCATAGAGGGACCAGTACCAGCGGTCACGGAAGAGGAAGTATAGCTGGCTGTAAGAAGAACAAAGAATGGCAAAAGAGCGGTCCAGACGACATACCAAGCGAGTTCTGGAAATTATGTGGACAATCAGGAGCCACATGGCTAACAAGTCTCCTCAATCAAATCATAAGAAGCAAGAGTATGCCTCGCGACTGGTAGACCAGCACGACCATCCCGATATGGAAGAACAAAGGAGACATAGCAGACTGCGCATCCTACCGACCAATCCGACTGATGAGCCACACTCTAAAAATCTTCGAGCGAGTAATCGAAACACGCCTTCGAGATATCATAAAGTTGTCACCGAATCAGTATGGATTCGTGAAAGGAGTAGGTACAACTGATGCAATCCACTCCGCTCGGATAGTGATGGGGAAATACAGAGAGAAGCAGAAGGAATTGCATGCAGCCTTCCTGGCTGGAGAAAGCCTTCGATAAGGTGCCCCATGAACTCATATGGTGGGCCTTACGGAAACACAGGGTGCCAGAGGAGTACGTTTAGTGGATAAAGTTGATCTACTAGAACGCGTCAAGCCATGTGCAAACAGCTGCAGGGCAATCGAAAGAATTCGAAATCAAGGTTGGAGTACACCAAGGTTCAGTTCTTTCTCCCTTGCTCTTCATCACGGTAATGAACGCCGTGATGGAACCGCTCAGACGTAAACCTCCTTAGATACTTCTCTACGCAGATGATATGGTCTTGATGCAAGTACCAGAAAGGAGCTACAAGACGAGGTGCAAAACTGGAAAAACAGGCTAGAGTTGTATGGCCTGAAGCTCAACGCCAGCAAGACAGAATATATGGAAATAGGGAAGCAAATTCCTGGTACCATAAGCATCGATGGTGAAGAGCTAAAGAAGACAACGTCATACAAGTACCTAGGCAGTCACATCTCAGCGGAGGGAGGCTTACAAGAGGAGGTCGAAATGGAGAGCCTTAGCAGGAGTTCTCTGCGGCAGACGAATGTCAGTACAGCTCAAATCCCAACTGCACCGGACCGTCATCCGTCCAGCAGCCCTCTATGGTAGTGAGTGCTGGCCGTGTACGCGGAACGAGGAGCGCAAGCTCAGTGTCATGGAAACAAGGATGCTACGATGACCTTAGGAGTCCCACTGAAGGATCACGTCTGCAATGACACTGTACGAGCGCGAATGAAAGTCAATTGCCCAGAAAATGCAGGAAAAGAGGTTACGATGGTATGGGCATGTGAGCAGAAGGGATGAAAGTCACATCACCAAGTTGGCCCTGGCTGTGGAGGCACCAGGCTAAAGGCCCAGAGCTAGACCCAAGATGAGGTGGATGGACAGAATCAAGGCTGACCTGCGAGAACTTGGTATAGATGAAGGCCCTGCCTCAGATAGGACGACATGGAGATATCTCACAAGAAAAGCAGACCCTGCATAAGCGGGACACATGCGAGGATAAAAAAAATTCTTTCATTCAATGAAAAATTTCGAATTTCTCCAAGCATAGCCTTCTCTCCATTTTTGACGCAAAACACTGAACACCCGCATATTCTAAGCTGTTTTGGAAAGATGAATTGGCCTTGTTCACATCAA